GGAAATGGAAATGGAACGGGCAAGGAGAAAGGGAAAGGGGCAAGGGGGAGTCCCTAATGGCGAAGGCTAATGGCTGGCCGACATCTTGCGGCATTATTAACATGATTGCCACGAGGACCGCATGCCGAGTCCTTCGAGGGCTTCGAGAGGCAGGGCTTATCAATGAATCACCAAAGCATGTGATTGATGATTTGATGTGTATAGTGTCGCTCCATTTCCCGCCCAGCCCAGACCAGCCGAATGTGGCTTCTCTGGCGAGGATTAGGTGCCCACGCAGCATCCGAGCAAATACCACGAATCCCGGGGATTCTTCCTCTTTAAGGCAATGACAGCCCACATATGCATACATTTGCCCAGGCTCGTGTGTGTATTGGTCGGTCTAAGGCAGATTAAAAGTGAAGAGCCTGCAAAAGTTTTGCTTCCTGCTATCTGAATGGGCATACCCTTACTGCGCCACAAATAATCCCATGACCAGCACCAAGTAAATACAAATTTCATGCTAATTTTAGCTGCATTAGCATCGAAATGTCTGGCCGAGTTACTCATTACGAAAGCTACCTTAGGATTTGCTCAGGTGAAGCTCGCAAGAACTGTGGGAATGACTCAGCTGCTCTATTTATTTTAATCTGGAAATTTGTCAGTTGTTTTGTTTATACAAGCAATTTTCATGGCCTTAATATTTTCCTATTAATTGGGCAAATCTCACGTCGATTTCCCCTTGGTCGTGTAATCTTGATTCCAGCTGACTAAAGCTGGTAAAATACTAAATTATTAAAAGCAATGAAAGAACTTTGTCCAGTCGCGTGCTGGCAATTGGCCATTTAAATATTTAAAGTGCTTACCTGCTGAATGGCAGAGTATAGTAACTCAATTAGCCACATTCAAACAACACTTGCTGGGCTCAAAAGTCAACCAATTTACGCTAAGCTATTTGGTTGACATGTGTGGTAATGCCAATGCTTCGATGCCAAGGGACGAAGGGTATTAGCCAGTCAGCTTTCCCATAACATTCCCTACTCATTTCTTTCTGTTTGCCGACAGCAACCGCCATCATCATCAGCAGCTGTTTGGGCTTCCGCCATTTGCTCGTCGGCGGCTTCAGAAGCTTTGCCAGCCTTTTTCCCCATAGCTGGTACTACACTTGATTTTCACACACACACACAGTCATGCGATTCCAGCCCCTCGAATTTCTAGACCAGAATGTTTACACATACGCGCGATTTTCTTTTAACAATTCATCAAATGCGCTAAGCGCGCACAAAAACTTTGACACTCGACGTTTTCTGTGTTTGAAAAGGGGAATTGTGCCCCGTGGCCGCCCGCTTTCCATTTCCCCCAAAAAGCCATATCAATCATCGCCCAAAGTGCGTGGCTGTTGGACACCTTTTGCAGGTGAGACGGCGCGAGGCTTTAAAATATTTATACTACTTTGCCGGGAAACGTTGAAGGCTAAATACAATAACTCAAAGTGATTTGCAGGTAGTAAGAGCCCGCCATTATTTGCATGTTCCCCTTGATTCCCCGTCGTTTTAGCCATGCATTATTTATTTGCCTGGCGCAATTTGTTTTCTGCAGACAATCGAGTGAGGTACTTGTAGCCGACGTTCGGCAATTAGTTGGGGTGTTGGCCAAAATGGCAGGCCCTTCAAGAGAGGAGCTCCAAAGGGCAGAAGCTGAAACTTGCATTTGCATAATTATCTGGCTGGCTTACCTAAGGCCCATAATCCGTGCAGGTTCATCGACAACATTGCGTATACGCCACGTATGCGCACCGCAATACAAATATGGGCTTAACTCTATTTATTTTCTCTGCAGCTCTCTGTCATTTAATTAGTGTAAACAGTTTTTAGGCCCGGCCTTGTTGCTGGGCCAATAAGCTTATTTAAACTTAATTACTTATTAAATACAAGGGCAGTTGGGCGCGTGCGTGTGCGTGTGCGTGTGTGTGAGTGCGTGTTGCACCCAGCTGATTTATGTAAATTAATTAAATAAACACCTGTGGCCAGCGGCGCTGCATGTGCGAGGATTTGTCTGCCAAAGGCCTTCGGGGGCTGTTTTTCACTTACAGTCTGCCAAACGATAGTTCTGGGCCAACTGTCTCTCGTGATCTGGCCCAATTTAGCCGCCACCTAATTGCAGCTCCCTGATTTATATCGAATGTCAACTGGAGCAAGTCCATAAATTCGTTGGGGCCGCCTTGCGTGGCAACTTCGCATTCGGGGAGCCCGACTTGGCTTACACCCGGGCGATAAGTCCTGCTACTGCTCCTGAAAGTCCTTGGAAGCAGTCAAGTGTGCGCATGATTTATTTTCATTAAAAACTTCTTTTTGCGGCTGTTTAAGCACTGAAACTTTTCGCGCCGCTCACTTCATAAAGCGGAAAAGTGGAAAACTCAGCAGAAAGAGCCGCGCAAATTTTAATCTGCACATTATCAAGTTGCGCAGCCCACACAATGAAGCCTTCTCCCGAAACCGCAATCATTAATATCCACCTTAATTTTTGGGTTCCCAGCTAATGTTGCACAATCAACGACCCCCGTTCGTTAAGCTTAAAAAATGGCTGCAAAATGTTGCCCCCCGGCCATTTACAAAAAGCGCCAGCGCCACGAAATCTAAATTCATTTGTTTGCCTGTCCCCAGGGAAATACGTGCGTGAAGTTGCACTATTGTAATGGCAGATTGCCATTGCATTGGCACGCGATCATTAGTCAAGGAGCAGGAACTGCAGCCTGACACTCGATGAAAGCGAAATGGAGTAGTTCTCTGGGAAAACACCCTTCGTGGGGGAAAATCAAGATACTGCACCCTGCTCACAACACAGTGCTACCAACGACTTGTCTTTAATTTCTCCTGAGCTGTATTCAATTTACTTATTTAATGCATGCAAAACCGGATCTATTTCAAATTGGACTTCGAATTTCCAAATAACAGAGGCGAGCTTAAGGTAAGATAGCCTTTTTAATTAAGGATATAGTCGTCTTTCCTGTTTTTGAACCAAGTAAAAACTACACCAATTTCCCAACTACGAACTGATTGTCACAACGTTGGCAGATTGAAATTGCTTTCTAATCGGCAGCCAAGGACGATGCAATTAGTAACTGATTTACCTGAGGTAAAAGTCAGTGCAACTTTGGTTTTTTGTTTCGCACTCGTCGGTTTTCGCCGGAAAACCGGAATTTTCCGTGCTGCCATTGCGTGAGTTGTCAGGGCGTTGGCAAATTAAAAGTTCTCATTCTATTATTTGATTGCCAAGGCAAAGCGAGTTTTTATATAAATTAGTTTGCTGGAACTGCTACTGTCGCCTGCTAATTAGACATGGAAAAGTTTGACTTTTCCAGGTGCGTAAAGCCGCAACTTTCCGTTCAATTGCGAAACTTTGGAGCCCGAAGCCCCACTGCAGCACTGATTTTCCCATTGTTGGCAGCAGCTCCATCTGGCCTATTCGCATTCCGTATACATATACTCGTACAAGTATACTATATAAATTCCCCCCACTGCGACATAATTATGTGGCGGCAATTTGCATTGCGCCCCCGACACAATAACCATAAAACGCCGTAACAATCGGCCAAGAATGCCGCCAACGAAAGCCAAAGCCAAACAAAGGAGCCGAGTTCAGCGGTGCAGCAGTTATTTCAACACCTTTATGGCGGTGTTCCTACATTTGTTAACCGCAAACACACACTGCGAGAAAAGCATAGCTATATGGCTTCACACCCTGCAGAGGTGGCTTTCAAATCATGAGTTAGCACCTAAACTGTATGCTGGAGTTATGCCACTCTTTGTTCAGCAGAACTGCATTTTTGATATATCTAGACTTATTACGCTTTCGCTCAGTGTACGGTGCTGACCACTATGGTCTGGCTTTAGCTCTGGCCAATGACCAGGGAAAGTGGCTTTGTGTCGTACTGTACTATGTACGGATAGAATCCATCGGCCGACATGCAAAGCAAACGGTGTTCGGGGCAGCTACGTGGAAGTACATTTACAAACCGTAGATAGACATCTGAAGATAAAGCAAATTGCTGGGCTACAAAATCGTTAACTGTAATTTACCGCATTTGAAATGTTGGCCACTCGCCATTCGCCATTCGCCATTCACCATTCACCATTCACCATTCTCGATTCTAGATTCCCCGATTCTAGATTCCCCGATTCTCGATGCAGTTATGAATAGTCGAGTTGGTGTGCAGGTGCCGACTTTAATTGTGTTATTCGAACGGCCAGGCAGTTTTGAGGAAAGCGGCGCAGGTAATTGGGGTATACGAGGGTACAAAGTCGGATATCGGAGGCGGTTATAATGGGAAGCACTTCAGAGCCACTTGCGAGCCGAGCATTAGCCTCTGAGCGACTGCCAGAAATGCAAATGAGGGCCAGAAATGAGCCGCTTCCCCACTTCCAACCCCCATATTAATCATACGCACTGTGGCCGGCGTTGCCTAATTTACACAAAGTGCAATCAGCGCAGCTATGCTAACTCACGCCCATTCAGACACTCAAGTGCAGTGCCAAATTGAAAGCGTGCCAGTTTGGGCTGTCGCAGATCAGCAAACAGCAAATGGAATGCGAGTATGTGGAAAACAGCCCACAGAATCGTTGTGAATGCAAATTAAATCCGCATATCTCCTACCCAATTCATCTCGATTCGCAAGTGTGCCATAAGTTTGCGCCAGCACTATAATATAGCTGCTGTCAAAAGTAATGAAAGGCCCGACCAAGGAGCCTATGAGAATACTTTTCCAATGGGGCGGTGTATTTTATCCGGCTCTTGAGAATAGCGACCTTATGTAAGTAGAAGGGCAATATCTAAAGTGGGTCGCCTAATCAAAATATAACAGCGCAGCTCAGTTCGCGCGAGTAGCTTAAAAATCTATGTAGAGAAAAGATAATGTAATTTAATATTATGTCGTGCACAATGAAATTAGCGTCCGCGACTGCCGTGTAATGAAAATTAGCTGACAAAGTTCAAGTGTTCCGTGGGGGAAACTATATGGCACAGTTGGCTGTGGCAGTCGAGTCTGGAAAGGTCAAAAGTCGGGCCATTTCATTCTAAATTCAGCTTTCCGAAAGCAAGTCAGCCTTTACATTTGTCTGCTCATTTTCGAAAGGATATGCCACGTCAACGCTCGGAAAGTCCCAGATCCACAGGATCAATGCGTCGTCAAAGCAGTCGAAGCAGCCATGTCTTCGCGTCAAGGCCATCTCGTGGAAGCAGCAAGGATCTGCCGGCAGTGCAGAAGCCCAAGAAGGAATCCTTGCCAGCTGCAGCACCTGCTGCCTCGGCAGCCCCCTCCACAGAGGCCAAAGGTCCTAGCGCGGGAGAACGGTTCAAGGACATGGCCACCACGGCTGCTGGCGTGGCAGCAGGATCAGCCGTGGGCCACGCTGTGGGCGCAGGACTCACCGGAATGTTCCAGGGACGTGGTCAGGCAGCCCCGGCCAAGGAGCAGCCTCAGCAGGAGGGCTCCTTGGGAGCTTCCGCTTCGCAGTCGGCGCCGCGACCTCAACTAGTGGAGGATGGTCCCTGTGCCTTCGAGCTGAGGCAGTTCCTCAAGTGCACCGAGGACAACAGTGGTGATCTCTCCGTTTGCAGGGAATTCAACGAGGCAATGCAGCAGTGTCGGCGGCGCTACAATGTCTGAGATCCAGTTCTGAGAAGCACATCAATGAGATTGTTCTTAAGCATACATATTAAAATTCAATTCGCATTTGGCTGAGATAGGCTACCTGAAAATAAATTTTTTCGAAAAATAAAGCATATTTCGGTCCAAATCCAAAAATGCATGCTTCGTTAGACCCATAGAAACTTCCTTATCGATGGGCAATCGAATCTGAAAAATTTTAATTTTTTTCAATTTTTGCAAAAAATGATGATGGTACCCCTTACAAAAAAGTCAAAATTTGGGAAATTTTTTTTTTTTTTTTTATTTTCAAATAAATGATTGGGGTCGAATGCTAAAGTCAATAAATGAAAAAAAAAAAATGTGTTCCCCGACTTTGGGGGTCGAGTTAGTGAAATTAGAACTCAAAATGTCTCTGGGAAATGGGAAATACACGTATTATTGTTATTCTTAACTAAATTATGATATTTCTGCGTGTTTTTTGTTGTTCCGACTGCTGCCATTTTTCAATTTCGATTGACAATTTGAGCAATTGCGTTCAATTTTTTACAAGGATGCCTTCCGCGGCGCAGAAAGAGGCTTCGGAGAAGGAAATTAATTGGCCTTATGCGGGCAGCCATCAACCAGAGCGAAGATACATCAACTCATCCCAGAGCTCCAGGCCATCCATCTTGCTTGGGAAACATTATTGATGTTGATTGATATATAAACAGTGGCTGGTACCGAATTAAGTTGTAGCCAAAACAATAAACAAAATGAAATTAGCATTGCCTAGACTCCACTTTCTCAACTTTTTCGCAGCTGAAAGTGGCGGCAGCTGCTGTCACATTTATTCACATGGCAGGCGGCACACAATTTTCAGCGAGCAAATATAATTTGCTTAAATATTCATAACAGAGTGAGTGGAAATTGTATAGTGCTGATGAACATGGACTCTGTGATAAATGGGCGAATTTCCCACCCTGCAGCATTAAATACAGCATCAATCAAGCGGCATTTGCAGCGAGTCTGTTTTCGGTTTTCTGCGGTTGGCAATAATTTAATGAAATATTCCGTTTGGCCCATGAACTAGCTGCCAAAATTCAGCATATGGGGCACTGCGTAATTCGAATTAGGCCCAAACTTTTGGCAGTTTGGCTAATTGCCGCTGTGTTTTCGTCTCCCCCCAAAAAGCCATAATAGTCACAACTCTAGCATGCTGCCAGCCAATTAAAGAATTTCCGTTGCACTCGCTAAAAGCGAGGAGTTTTGACTTTGTCGAAAGTCGAAAGAGCCAGTTCTTGCTGTTTGAAATACTCGTCGGGTAAAGCAATTTCCTATGCGGTTCCACCAGCAACGCGAATCTAAAATCCATTTTGTTAATGTTTTTTGGGATGTTCATCAAGGCTCTTCGCTTGTTTAATTCAGAAGGGGAGAACTACAGACAAAAAAACAATTGAATTTGTGTGGACCATTTAACAATAAATCAGTGTAGTTAGTCGTTGTTGCTTTGCTGCATCTCACATCTCAACTTCAAATTCCACACTAAGTGACTGGCACAGTAGTTCTGCAGCTAACATTACTTTCAGTGTATTTTGAGGGCCACATATCCCCACCAGATTACCCCCTCCTTGGTGGAATTTTAAAAGGGAAGCCAGCTGGAGTTGTGTATTCGCATTGCTTTTATACCTCTCGCGTTTGCCGACAAATTCATTATGTGTTTGTAATTAGTGCGGGAAATGGGAAAAGCAAACGCAAAAAGTGAGAAGTGAAAACAAATTAGAATTCCTTTTTTCGTCCTCGCTGCAGTGTTCTGGCCGCCAGGTGGCGCTGTTGCATGCACTTAGCAATTAGCTGGCAGGGAATGCAATATAAATTAGCTGTCAAAGCTGTAAAAAGGATCCCCGGAGCAGCCCAGGAGTCCATGAGTTAGACATCATAACGCCACATTTGTCATTCGAAATTCTACTTAACCGTTTGGAAGTAAACCTCATTTTGCTCATCTCGAAATACTCGTATGCTTAAATTTGAAGGCCAGAAGAGAGGAGGAAATATGCCACGCGGTCAGAGAAGTGCTTCGGTCAAGCCAAGCCGCACCACCTATTCGCCAGCGGTGCTGTCCACCGCCAAGAGTTCCGATATGGTCTTCAAGGATGCGGCTGCCCACGCGGTGGGCGTGGCAGCAGGTTCAGTCGTGGGCCATGCCATCGGATCGGGAATAACTGGGTTGTTCAGGCGGCGTGGCCAGCAGCCGCATCACAGCGATTTGGTCGAGGAAGGTCCTTGCGCCAAGGAAATGAAGCAGTTCCTCAAGTGCACCGAGGAAAATGACGATCTCAGTGTGTGCAAGGAGTTCAACGATGCGGTGCGACGATGCCACCGCCAATATAATATTTAGGAAGAACAAAAAGAGAGAGGATTTTAACTTGTCTTAAAATTACGTTCCTGCGGAGCGAAATAAGGTTTTAGCGCAAAAATTTTAGTTTTTGAAATGTATATTTTTATTATTTCGCCTGAACAACTTTGAATAGTAATTATAGAGATTTTATACCCCTGCTGGATTCTCGCATATAGCAAGGATAATAAGAAGCTCATTGCATACCAGACATTCATTAGAGCTCCGCTGCCATGTCATTGTCACTCTAATCTGCGCACTAGAGCCCGAAAACCCTTTTCCAATCATTAAACATTCCATTTTGTCCTTGGGTTCAATTTGAATAGACTTCAGCACTTCCAATCAAGTTCAGGCGATGTGGGTGCGCAATTAAAATGCTTTATGACAGGTCCTTCGTCCTTGAGCTTCCCCTTGTTTTTTTTTTACCACTTTAAAGCTGCCCCATTGTCACATGCTCGCTGCTCCTTTGGCACTGTTATTTTTCGTCATTCTCAGTTAATTGTGATTTTGTTTACTGTCATCCTTGTCTCTCCGGTCGCTCCTGTCTCCTGTCTCCTGTCGCTCGACCCCTTGTCAGGATCTCGGCTTTGTTTGCCTTTCTACTTTGTCTGTGGATCTGGGCGCATATTTACTTTAATTTTGTTTTGTTATGTTACTTCGCCACCGCCCAAAAATGAAAGTACCACCCCACCGATTTCAGCGTCGAACGCGCTTTTCTCCTCGCTTTGAGCGCTTTTGTTTCGCGTTTTTCCGTCTTTCTTTTTTTGTTTTTTGGTGGGCCCCAAACTTTTTCATTTCGCTTTTTTATCTGCTTTGCTTGCGCGCAATTAAGCCAGCGAAATGTTTTTGGCCACGTCAAGGCGACGACGCTGACATCGAGGACCCCGGAGAGAATACCCTTTTTAATTTAAGCATATTTTCCCAGGAGTCATACGCATTATACAGTCAAGCCTGCCTAGCCGGAACCACTAAAGGCATTTCAATAATTTTAGTACGTCATTACCTCTAAATGCCACATTAAAAGAATACATGCGTTGAAACATTCCACAAAAATAAATGCAACTGTAGACTGCCTTTAAACAAAACTGTTAAATTCGTGTTTTCTATCTATAAAAATATACACGTAACTGCCATTAAATTCTCTAAGGTTGTTAAAGCTTCAAGCCAGTTAGTTGCCTCTTCATTTTTACGAGTCTAACCGTATCGCACTAAAGGAAGCCGTACTGTATGTTTGCAGCTGTCTTAAGCGCTTTGTCTGGCTTAATGAAAACAAATTAAATTTTGGCCAGCAGCAGCGGGCCTAATAAATATTTATTATGTGCTCAAAACTTGCCCGGCTCACACGCTCTTAAATAGGGCTTCCTGCTGATCTGGCACATCCTGGCCAAAAGAGCTGGTCCTGGCAGCAAGGACCTCCCACTGCGGTCAGCGGAACTAGACGAACAGTTAGTGTGAACTGGGGTCGAGTGCCGCTGGTATGTGACATGGCAGTCAGGTCAAGCCATAATTACGTCCAATTAAGAGTCTTTGAATTGGAAACAGTGCCACCATTTCCATTACCACTGCCACGGGCTTTGTGTTCCCATTGAATTTGCGGGTGCTTCTGCTTATGAAGTTGTCATCTATAATTAAAGTTTTCTTATTTATTACATTTCTCAATAACGTTCTGTTGTCAAGGCTCCCAAAATTGCTGGCGATTTCATTATTTGCCCGTCATTACGAAACGCGGTAGCCACCATATCTGATGTGAAATATGATGTACGGCTGGCAAAAAGCGAGAAAACACATTAAGGACGAGACAGCAAAATCCAACACACAGTTCCAGCCAGATGCAGATGGATTTGCAGTTGCAGTTGCATTGGCAGGTGACGAGTGCAACAGCAAAAGCGTTTCATTGATTGCCTCTTTTTGTTGCCACCGAATTTTCCTGTGTCCATTGTGCCTTTTCACGCTTTTCCCGCCCAAAGAAAGCACTGCGGGTGGAAAAGGAGGGGGAAAGTGTGAAATTCGATATGGCAAACACGCATTCAACTGCGAATCAGCCATGTTTTAACTCTTTATTGTGGTGTATATACCGGGAAAATTGTCTAACAATACTTCTCCTAACATCAACATTGCATGGATTTAAGTAAGGCAATTTACCTAATGTCGTACTCATACAAGACTAACAAAATTTGCCTAAAAAGTTAAGCTCCATTTTGGTGTTGGTATAAGCAGGACCGATTACTGCGCATTTTTCAGTGTAATGGTCGCCTGCGTGTGTTTTGTGTGTGCATGGGGGCGTGGCCACAGGAAGAAGCAAAAGCGAGGAAAACCGGCTGCGGGCAAACAATGAGAAATGGCCGGTCCACCTGGCTCGCTGTTCCACTGGCCACACAAAGTCGGTGTGTATGGTGTGTATGGTGAGCACTTCTGCTGGCCGAGCGAGCAGAACGTGTTTAATTTAATTCCCCGGGCAACTCGCTGCATGGACACTTGGGCAAATCGCATAAAATGCTAATAAAAATCAAATCAATTTCACAAGTGGTCGGGCAGAGGGGCGTGCAATGCAATAAATTGCATCAAAATCGTGTAACCAAATTGGTTGAATGGCCAGTAAGTGCATTAGTTTTGAGCGCATCTGTCAAATATCAAATTGATGTGCAGCAAACTGTGGCGAAAGCTATTCGGCTGCAAGACTGCGGAGCTGCAGTCTGCATAGCTGCATAGCAATGGCTGGCGGAAGCGGAAATGCATTTCCGAAAACCGGAAATGCACTGCATTCGAATTGCAAATGGCGTCCAGAAACCAAACCCAATGAATATGGAGTGGACCAGCAGAATGGCTTTGGCTGCCCGAGGTCCCGAAAAGTTGGTAATTCCAGCATGTGGACCAAGTTGCGGTCCAATAAATATTTCAGAAACACAACTTTCCGGCGCTTCGGACTTCATTAAAGATGGGAGAACTAAATTTAAATTGCTGCCCGGTCTGGCCAGCTCCTTGCCTGCTCTTTGTCCATTTGCATATTAATTAAACCCTACACCCGAAAGGTCAAAATACCAAAATGCCAGGCCAAAAAACCATAAGCTGACCACACACAAACACACCATACACACACACACACACACCACACCACACCACACACACAAACACCCAGCTGCTTCATTAGATTGGCGAGGCATATTTTTGGGGCGCAACGCCCACAAAAGTACAACAACTGAGCCCAGTTTAAGCTCATAAAAATTTAATTTCGCCTTAACAATGGGCGTATGGGCCAACAATTTGCCGTCAGCCGAAATATATCCTACTCACCCCGCCGGCACAATGTGTCACTTAAATATCAATTTAATTTCCATAATAAAGCCAGCGCCTCCAGGACAGTTTCCCCCCGGGGGATTTTCCCTATGATTGACAGTTTGTTTAGCCCGGCAGGATGTGGAGGTGGAACACCCGAAAAGTAGTTGACAGAACATTGATTGAAATAAGTAGATCAAATATGTATTAATAGAATGTACGGAATTTCAGTAGCGAAACAATCGTGCAGCTATGGTTAATTGTATTTACCCTGTTCTCATCGCCCGAAGGAAATAGTAGAAATGGGAGAAGGACCTTAGCCATTTCTGAGTGGAGTTTGTTTAGTTCTGATTAAGGAAATTTGGCTGATTGCAATGCAAATACGTATTAACTTTATCTCAGTTTACTCGAGTACGCCCAGTGGGCGGAAATCACTTATATAACATCAATATTAGCATGCCAAAGGTATATAAATAACTGAATTTGATGGTAAATTCACAAAGCTAATGAGTCAGCCGGGAAAACAGTTTAAAATACAAATTTAAAAACGTTATGGACTGAAATGCTTTTATTGAACTTACAATTACAATGACTCAAACAAAATAGTTCACATAAAATAGAATATGTGTGAATTTAAACCTAGGGATCACATTTTTCTTCAGTGAACTGAATCCAGTGTCCCATTGCACAAAAATGTATACACAAGTATGTATTGTATCAACATAAAGGCAGTGCAAATGAAACAATAAAGCAAACTTAAAAGTCCATTAAAAATGCTTAAGCGACTTTATAAAGTCGGCAGACCGCGTCAACTTGGTGACATTTGGGGGGAAATGGAAAGTGGATGTGGATGTGGGTGACTGGACTGCATAAAACTAAGCCAACCCAACTGAGCTGAACTGAGCTGAACCCACAGACACATGGAGTACACTTGATGAACTGCTGATACACACAGAAAACGAACGCAGAAAAAAGTATATCTTACAAGTTCTAAAACATACTCAAAAATAATCCATCGATGTATAGTTTGTATAGCCACGGAAAGCATTGAAGTGAAAAATCTCGAATTTACTTGTGATCACACTTTTTTCTCTGTGTTCTGTGGTCGCCGACAATAAATAGAAATCTCAATTTACGATGCGTTAGCTGAGCTGCCGTTCTGTATTTTTCCGAGAGGGCTTGGTGGTTACTAATGCCACCAGGACCACGTTGTTCCTGCTGACTGGTGGGTGGTGGGCGGTGGTTGAAAACGGGCGCAGTGTCCTTGCTGCGGGCCAGAACCCACTTGCCTCTATAATGGCATTTGTGATGGCTGCGGTTATAGTCGCCGTCGCCGTTGACGATGATGTTGATTGGCGATTCGCCGGCGCATGCATGGATATGTCTCCATTCCATCTCCAGCTCCAGCTCCATCTTCCTAATCCTGCGGCGATGTACCAATGTCCTCTGGAAAGTGCACAACGGGTGCTTATATGTTGACATTAAAAACTTTGCTCTAGTGGTGCGAAACCGAAGCCAAAACTTAACCGACGCAGAGTTCAATTATGCCATAAAAGTTCTGGTCTCTCGCCAAAGTTTTTCACTCCGCTAATACGTGACATAATTTGTGGTAATACGATTGGATGGGTCAGCGTTGAGTGGTGGCAGACAGTTCTCTGGGGTTCGAATGACATCCAGACAGATACAATGTTTGCAACTTGTCTACAACGACGAAGAAGAGCGAAGAGCGCCTCAATTAGCGCCCACTTCCGTTTCGAGCAGTCGAGCGAGTCCGAAGGGGAAATTGCTGGCTTTTCTTCGGCGAAAATTAGCGGAAAAACTCAACCGCAAATGCGCTTTCCAGCGCAGTAAGCCGGCTTTCTTCTGGTCAAGACAATTCCGG